TTTTGTTTCTGTCTTATAAATTAGTTTGTTCTAACTTTGAAAGCTGTAAAAAGCAAGGATTATAAAAATAAGATTACTTTGATCCAGCCTCAAGTGCCATTAAATGGTGAGAGTATTAGGCCTTTGTATACTTAGAACTCTTGGTTACAAGTGACATAAACCCAACTTGAATTAAATTTAAAAAGAAAAAAGAAAAGTGGGTTCACTGGTTTAAGGAATCAGAACCAGGAGCTGTAGTTGAGGATTCCACAGCGTTCTTTGTCTCTCACCCTTCCACCACCTCTTCGGGTGTCAGCTCCATCCTTGGCAGCTTTCCTTCCCAAAGTTGAATTGTGCCTGCCTGCAACCGTGGGCTTATATAACAGATTTATTTTCCTACCCACTCTGGCCAAAAATTATTATTATTAATTCTTTTTTTTAAGGATGGAGTTCTAAGTTGCCTTGGTTGGGTCATGTGTCCACCCCTGGACCAGTCGCTGTGGTAAAAGGACTAGGATAGCATAGCCTAGCCTCACCTGCTCACTCTTGTGGTTTGGGGAATCAGTATTGGTTATCAGCAAAAAGATGCTGAACAGAAACACAGTGTTCACTTTAGCCGTGGAATAGGTGCATATCAGAATAATATTTATATATATTTATATGTTTTTTCCTCATCTATTTGAGAATTAGTTGCAAGTATCATACCTTTTTACCTCTAAATGCTCCAATGCATCTTTCCTAAGAGTATGGCCGTTTTCTTATATAACCATTGTCATATTTACATCTTCCCTCTTCCTTGGTGAGAACATAGCTCCTAAGAGCAACACACTGACTCGCTTGCTTAACGCTATACCACATCTAACATGTTTTCAGAACTGCTTCACCTGTACGCCTACCAAAAAGTTCAGAATTTGTTGGCTGTTCTCCCCGAAAGCTGGAAGTATATAGTCAGATACTATGTTTATAAATTAATGAGATTTTTCTGTCTGTTCTTTGTAGTTCTGTTATTTGTTTGTATGAATGTACACTTAGATTCATTTATTTCAGCTTGTTTTCATCTTTCATTTTTTAATTTTTTAATATGTAGAACTTTAATATGCTTCCAAAAGTCAGATCTATGTAAAAAGGTAGTCAAAGGAGTGTTACTGCCTTCTTGTTTCCCTTCCACCCCGTTCCCTCCACTTATCCCATGTGGATAATCATTGTTTTTTGGTTTATCCCTTTTTGTGTTTCTTTTTGTAATATAAATAGATACATGCAAGTTTTCTTATTTTCTCTTTATTTTTTCAGAAAAAAATAGCATATTATTGTACTCCTTTGCACTTTCACTTAACAGTATATCTTAGAAATCATTCCATATTAGTTTATAGAATTCTTTCTCAATCGGTTTTACATCTGCATAGTACTACTTTGTACATATCGTATTTATTCAGTCCCTTATGTTTGGACATTTAGGTCATTTTCATTATTTTGTAATTACCGAATAATGCTGCGGGGATTAACCACATGCGTGTGTGTTTTCATATTGTTGGAGGTGTATCCAGAGTATTTTCCTATATAGTGAATTGTTGGATCAGAGGATACATACATACATACATAGTTTAGTTGCATATTATTTGACCACTATTTTTGAAGAACCTGGAACTTCAAGGAGCAAACAAAGCATTCATGGACCAAATCCATCTATAAGGATAGCAATCTGGAGATTAAAATGTCTTACATTTGATAAAACTCTCAAGCGTAAGGTTTTCAAAATTTATTTCAAAAAGAGGAAAAACACATTTCATCTAGTCTTCCTGGAGGATAAATTCAGATGATATTTTCTTGATGTCCTATTTGAAAATCCCATTTATAAACTTACAAGGAATCTTTTCTTCCTGATATCTGTCTTTATCAGAAGAGCTCCAGGAAGAATTTTTGGAACTCAAAATTGATTCTATTGTCAAAGGTAACCTCCAGAAAAATCACTTTGAAGATTTCCCAGGTAGAGTATCTTCTTATCTATCCCCAAATAGGTAAGCAGGTGTCATTTTCCTGTTTGACTGACATGTGTTTGACAAAGTGTTCACTCTACCCCACTCCACCCTCAGCTTCTCTTTAGGAAATCTAATAGTGCCCCAGGCTTGACTTTGGAAGTGCCTCACTGCAGCTCCTTCGTACTTCCTTGTTTATTGTGTTTCTGAAAACATGGAAGGCAAATGTATTCTTATAGTAAAGTTTCAGATACAAGTCTTGTGTAGTTTCATATCTTGAGGAGGTTCTATTCCTTAATCATGACTTGAGCTTAGTTTAGTTTTGAGTATGATGTTTCACAACAAAGCATGTATTTCTAGTGCATCTATTTGTGAATTTTTAAATGAAGATTAAACATACATAGACAAAGTTTTCTAATATGAAGCTATATTTAGTGGATAGATTAAATTGATTTCAGATGTTGGGAGGAAGGCTTTAAGATTTTATAGAAGATTAAATGGGGTTCTGAGCATGTGATTTTTATGATGGCTTTTGGTGTACTAGTCAGCTATCTTTAAATTTGGGTCCAAAAAATTAAGCACAAACCTTCTTGTATTAAGAGAACTATGGATTTGTGAATTTTTTTTGTATGTTTGGGTCCCTGAAATGTTTCATCACCAATTCTTTTGGTCATTATTTTCAAATAATGTTAGATTTGAAAGAGATTTGAAGTTTCTGCTTTTATTAAAAGGGAGGCTGGGTTTGGAAATTAAAAACAAGGGACCAGGAAACATGGTTCAGATGAGCTGAGTGCGGGCCTCAGCTCTACTGCTTACTTTGTAGAGTATAAATTGCTATGTAACTTTCTTAGTGAGGAGCCATATAACATGAGATAAATATTCCTGTGAAAATTTGGCATCTTTTTAAGCTGTTTCACCTGAGTCTCCTATCCTGAAACTGATCAGAAGTGAAAGAATTTCTGCTCCTCCCCACCCCCAGCTTTAGAGTACGAACTCTTGTTAAAATGTATAATCCTCTAAAATGATCAGGATCCCTTGAGTTCCATTTCCTTAGCTTGGACCAAAATAATTTCCGTAAAGAACTTTGCTGGTAGGTAGGAAAGCCAGTCATCAGCCTGGGGAGTCGAGGGTGGGCTCGATTTGTGCTGACCTGATGGGGGATCCATGAGTGGTGAAGGGTGAAGACGGAGGCAGGCAGATTTGGCTGTCGGCGCTGGTCCGTATGCTGCCACGGGCTCTTGACGCTGGGTCTCCCTTCTCTAAGTCAGGCTGGTGGTGTCCCTGCCTTCCCCTACACCTTCCGGTAACTTGCCTGATGGGAAGTGCCAGTAACTTTGACTCTCCTCATCCTTCACATTCTGCCAAGACTTACTGTTTCTACTTCTGCTGAATCGTTCAAATCATTTTCACCTTTGAGTTTGCATTGGTTATATCTTGCCTCAGTCTTTTTTTTTTAAGGGGGAGGTAATTAGGTTTGTTTGTTTATCTACTTATTTATTTTTAATGGAGGTACTGGAGATTGAACCCAGGACCTTGTGCATGCTAAGCATGCACTCTACCATTGAGCTATACCCTCCCCTCCTCGCCTTGGTCTTCATTCCCTCTTGCCCAGGCTTGCCATCATGGCCCTTTTCATGAGAATGAAATCTAAGCTCTCTAGCCAGGTGTACCCCTGATTTCTTGCCAGCTCTGTCACTTATTGCTTTGTTCACTTGCCCTGTCATGCGGCCATGCAGACTGTCTTTAATGTTCTTCCATTCCCCAAGAATGCCATGGTGGTTACGAGCACACCTGAGTTTAAATACTTTCTCCATTGTTTACTAGCCATGTTACCCTGGAAATCTTAACTTCACTGTGCCTCTTGATAAAATTAGGATAATAATGCTATCTGCCTTATAAGGTTCTTGTGAAGAGTGAAGGAGATAATCCATGTAAAGGATTAGAGAACTGTGCCTGCATGTAGTAAGTGTTGTATGAGAATTAGCTCCTGTCCTCTGTGAAAATTCTGCGTATATCTCTGCTCAAATGCATTGTCCCCAATCTCCCCAATGACAAGTAATCTTACCCATCCAATGATGCATCCATCTATCTATTCAATAAATAGTTACTGAATACTTAATATGTTTTAGGCATAAGACTACCCACTGTGAGGAATACAAAACTTAATCAAGCCCACACTGTTCTCTGGGAATGTAGAATCTGATAGGAGAGATCAGAGAAGTATAAAATATTCATCTGTTTGTCACATGTTTATCGAGCAGCTGCAGAGGATCCAGGTACTGTATGGTCCTGAGCCTGGTGTTGCATCTGATGGCTAACTTTGAAAGATCAGAGTTTGAGTACCTTAAACAAAGTGCAGTTAAGGTGTCTGGGAGTATAGGAGAGAGATTTTATCAGCAGGGAGGGTCAGAAAAGGCTTATTAGAGGAGTTGCTGCCACCTTAGCAGGGCCTTGCAGGACAGATGGACTTTGCCCATTTTCCACCTCTCTCAGGAGGCATCCATCTACTGCTGTGGGCTATGGCTCTAGGTGGTCTGTAAGAATTTCATAATTGTAACTTTCTCAAGGGCTGGGGTGGTGGTGTCTTCATTTTTGAGTTCCTAGTACTCACTCCAAGTCTTATACATAGACCATTCTCAATAGAGGACAACGATGGATTAGGGAGATGTCTCTTCCCACATAACTTAAAGGGAGATTGAAATTGAATGATTCTCAGAATCTGCGAAGCAATTAAGCTTCCTAGAGAAGACATTTATATGAAACTGAAAGTGAGGTTCTTTGAAGATGTTCATACTATTTTATTTCTTATCACAATCATATCTATAGTAGTCATGATAGGGGTTTTAAAAAAAATGAATTCTGCTTCAGTCCTTGTAGATATTTCTTCCCATATTTCTGCATATTTTTGGGAAGAAGCTCTCGTAGATATTTCTTTAAAGCCTATCTTGGTCCAAGAATTCCAGGATGTGCTATATCATAACTTTAATCACGAGAAATCTTAGTTTTAAAAACTGCCCAACAGTTTTAATCCTGAATTTCTCCTTGTAGCAAGGAGCAAGGACCAACCCCAGTGGAGAAAAAGAAGAAAGGAAAAAGGAAAAGTGAAACCACAGTGGAGAGTTTAGAGCTGGATCAGGGCCTGCCGAACTCATCCCTGCGTAGTCCTGAGGAATCCACCGAGTCTGCAGACAGCCAGGTACAGCTGTGCCGGGATCCCTGGTGGGTGTTCCGGCTGCCGGGCGGGATCTTGCTGACACTGATCCTGTTGCTCCTCTCTCCCTATCTCTAGCCTGTATCCCTTGCACACAGACCTGGGCTGGGCTTGCACTGTTTCAGTGGGTGAGCACCAAAAGACCACAGGCATTTTCGCTAGCATCCTGATCCTTTCAGTCTCCGAGTTTTTTAGTGGTGTTTGCTTCCTTCTTGGAATGCAGCATGATACTAGGCCACAGAGGGAGCGAATGTGAAAAGTGGCATTATGAACCAAGCTAGTTAAGACTTGGAGGGCCTCTTTTGCCATCTAGGGAATGCATTTAGGGCTCAAAGTGCTGGGTCAGCCTTCACAAGAACATTTTCACAATTCCAGATGCTGGAAAAGTCAGGAATGTATTTATTTTGCCAAAATAGGAAGGAAAGTTTGGCTAAACCTAGAAATAATGTGGCCCACCTAAATGAGATTTCTAAAAACACGCCATAGTGTGCCTAGGACATTGGTAGGAATTTTCTCCCTGAGTTGAGGCAGACTCTCGGACTTGAGTTCTAATATTTGAGCTCTGACATCCACAGCAGTTTACTAGGCTGTGCTACTGCCAGGAGGGGACCGTTTAGAATGAGACCAACTAACTGCAGCTTAAGAATCATCTAGACCCTCAGATTTCTAGGTGATCTTCATTGTAGGAAGCTGTCAGCGCCTGACATCATAGTGGTAATAAGTAGTAGTGTCGGGGGTGTCAGAGCAGAGACCTTTTCGCTGCCTATAAACTTAGGATGGTGGCTTTTAAGCATTCGATTGGCAGAGGAGCAGGTGCATCAGGTTGGTGGGAGTCAGCAGGGGGTTAAGTGTTTCTAGAATGGTGATCTGTTCGTGGGATCGGGGGAGACCTCTTTATGTGGAATCCTGAGTGAAGAAGTGATGGGAACACAGAGAGGGTCGAGGAGGTATCTGTTAGACGATAAGGGGGGTGAGGTTTGGCTTTTGGTTTTGTTTTTTAAGGTTTAAGTATTTAAGAGTGAGCTAGCAGGGGAATGGTTCCCAGAAGTGTTTCTACTGCTTGGACATGATGTGTACATAGAGATGAACCGTGTGTTTTTCTGTTTGAGGAAAGCCACTGGGTTGCTTTGTTGTAGAATGTTGCCTCCCTAAAAGGTCACAAGCTACTTAATTATAGATGAGTCCTTAGATTGTGACTCATGAATCTTATTTTGTCACACTTAAGATGTCTACTTGCATTTCAAGGGGTGTTAGGAGATTCTCAAAGTAAGTCCTAATTCATATTATTTAGTTGTTTAGGAGTACATGGTAAGTATGGTGAATTTGTCAAAAAAAAAAATCAAAACCAAAAGAACTATTATGTCATTATCATAAACTCAGCTTCCAGCTCTGCTGAAAGGGACCTCAAAGATGATGAAGTTACTCCCCATCCCTGTTTTACTGGAATAGAAACCGATTCCAGAAAGGAGGTGGGGGAAAAGCACTGCCATTGGAGAATAAAACACATCTCACTGGGTTCTAAGACTGCAGCCTCTTCTCAGTGGATCCTGGTGATTTGGAGCCCCTCCCTCAGCTGGATCCCATTATGAGTGAATTTAGTTCTTAAGAGAGTTGTGTTAAAGGAAGATTCTTCTTGTGAAGTTACAGGGGTCCCCTTTGAATGTGAGTACGTGCAGGTGAGGGTATCCCTGTACAAGCTCTTGCCTCTGACTCATAGAGCGTCTCTCTGGTGGGTGTGTTTGTCCTGCAGAAACGACGCTCAGGACGGCAAGTGAAGCGCAGAAAATACAACGAAGACCTGGACTTCAAAGTGGTGGATGATGACGGGGAGACGATCGCCGTTCTGGGAGCCGGCCGGACGTCTGCCCTCTCAGCTTCTACACTGGCTTGGCAGGCAGAGGTACGGCCTTCGTGGTGGGCTGCTGGCCTCGGCTGGACAGTCATCTTGACTACTTGATGGAGTTGTACTGTGGCTCTTGTTTAAAGCATAAGTTAGATCACTTTAACTGCTGGTTAAATCCTTTAAGTGGCTATTGCACTTGAAATAAAGCTTAAATTCCTCACTGTGCCCAGCAGGACCCTCTGTCGTCATACCCTCTCCCTAATTCTCCACATTAATTTTTCAGATAAACTACCTTTCACCATCTCTCTCATTACTCTCCGGCCACAAGACTTGCCTCTTTTAATGCCTTGAATTAGCGGTTCTTCCCCACCTGCTGGCCTTTGCCTGTATGGTCCCTTTTGCCTGAAATGCTCTTTATCCACGTGCTTTAAATGGACTCCTGCCCATCATCCTAATGATTCTGTATTTCACACTTTATTTCTTTCATCGCACTTATTACAGCTTATAATTGTGTTCTGGTTTCATTTTATTTCTTGGTCTCTCCCATTAGAATGTAAAAGTCTGATACGTAGTAAAGTATTTTTCAGTGAATGGAATCCCATGAACTAGTAATTACAGTTGGAACTTGGAGTTGACAAATGTGTACTGAGAGTCTACTGCAAGGCCAGGTCCTAGGATCCAAGGATGAGTATCAAGGCATGGTCCCTGCCTCCCAGGAGTTTTATCTGTGCTGATACTGTGATAAGTGCAGTCTACAGTGACTACACAGAAGGAGGAGTGGACAGGAAAGGGAGGTCAAGGTTTTAGGAGAGGCATTTCCGACATGAACTAAAGCCCCACAGCATGAATGGTACCAATGACAAATTGATGGGCTCAGTAGATGTTGGAGTCTGTTTGAGGAGTGGTAGGAGGTGAGTCAGGAGTGGTAGGAGGAATCGCATTATGCAGGGCCTGGGATATCAGCTGAAGTATTTGGCTTTCATGCTGTAGACTGAGCAAGTGGCAGGAGCACTGATGGGTTCAAGCAGAGAAGCAGGATGCCCGCCTGTGCAATTTAGGAACTTCCATTGGCAGCAGTATCAGGGAGGGAAAGGATAACACTAGGACCTGATACCCCAGATGCTAGAAAGGGAGAGGAGTCAGTGTGAAAAGAAGGAGGTCTGTGCCAAGCCGCTTACGGAGGAGAAATTAGAAGCAAAAGAAGAAGCAGGCTGTACGTGTAGGAGAGGCCTCATTGCCAACAGCGCCTTCTGGGACACAGGCTGCCTGTTGTTACGGAATCACTGTCGCTGACTTGGCAGAATCCACGTTCTGCATGTGCAGCAAAAGCGCAAATACCTGTTCTTCCTCCTGGACACCGGCATGGCTCACCGGCGCTGATAATGCTTTATCTGTGTAAAGCACCTTGCCTCCAGCCTAAAGCATTTCCACGTAATTTCACATATCCTTTCACTCTGCGTGGGAAGTAGCTAGGAGCAGGGGCCATTTGTCCCTATTTTGACAATCAAGAAACAAGCACAGAATGATCCGGGTCGTAGAGGTATATAGCAGCAGCTGCTCAGTGACTAGCATGAAGTGTTGATGTCACATCTCTCTGCCAAGGGTTATTCAGCTAATGAATATAACACCTAATAGAAGCATACTTTTCAAGCAGACAGTTAAGAAATAGCCCTTCCAAGACTGCTGTGAGGCGAGAGGAAAATTACATTGCTTTACAGTGAATTTTCCTCCCTTGGAGATTTTATGGTTGGTTTGGTAGTTAAGACACTATAAGGGACTTTATTTTCTCCTAGTAGCCACTTAGCCCAAGTCATTAACCATATTTCCATTGTTGTTATGACTTCTCCCCTGGTACCTGAGGGGCAGCATTAGCTGATCAGACAAATAATTTGGGAAATTTTTATGTATCTTAACAGTGCTCTTTTTTATACTCTTCAGGGTACAGCAAAGAGAGAGTTTATATATGGTGAAATATAAGGTAGAATCTGAATTTGCATTAATTATGCCTCAAAAATTTTTACTAAATTTAAGCAAGAAAGAGGCAAAAATTTAAGCACAAAAATGTTATGTGGTTTTTGGCATTGATGTTCAGAAAGGCAACTGTGTGGATCTGGCCTGCACACCACAGGGCAGACTGGACAGCCTGCGAGGGGCTGAGCAGATGTCATGATCAGGGCTCCCTGGAGCCCTCCACTTGCATCTGTTTTACTTAGTGGGCTTCCTGGGGGGTCTGAACAAAGATTTCCCACACTAATTCAAAGCCTGAAAGTCATGGGTCTCATCTAGGATTACAGGCAATCCTCACAGTGTCCAGTGACACAGAATCAGTGAAAGAAGATGAGGCTTTTTCTTACATCCTTCTCTCGCAAGGCCCTTTGGAGGGGTGTCTACCTGCTTACTGGCATTAGCTTGAGGCAGAGAAGGATGTGCAGTCAGCACCAAAACGGCCCCGCTGCTACCTCCCTACATTTCTGTGCAGTGTCTTATCAGCATGCTCAGCCCACTTGTGTGGCTGCTGGCCCCGTCCCAGCCCCAGATTGCAACATCAGCAGTGGTTAACTAGTGGTGAGTTGCTAAAAACATCTTTACGCATGATTCATTCTAGATCAGGACTGGCAGATTAGCACAGCCCTGCTTTGGGGTCTAGAGGACAGTCCCCTGCCTGGTATGTGGGATTGGGGTTGGAAATATGTTTCCATCCTGACTCTTTGCTTTCTTATTCTTTGTCAAACTGATGTTGGTACCTGGAACAGAGACAGACTTTCACAGTTATGGTACATTTATATGTACAGATTTTTACAAGGCTGTCTCGGTTTTTGCCTCATGTAATTTGTATGGTTTGTATAATTTTGCCTTTGAGGCAGAAGGACTTGAATTTGAATGAGGCATCATTCATGGTGCTCTCCTGTGCCTCCTCCTGTGTCTTTGCAGACTGTACCCTCTGCTTGGTCTGGTCTTTTCCTGTGCCTAGAGGACTGAGCTCAGTCGTAACCTCCAATACCCCAGCAAGTTCCCTGCTCCCCCTGAGCTGGGGACGAGTCCCCCTCCTCTGTCTCCCAAGCATTCTAATGTGTTTACCTCTCACTGTCCTTTAAACAGCTGCCAGTTTTTTGTTTCCCTCTTCCAGGCCATGAGCTGTGTTAGGGCAGGGCTTGTAATGGTTTGTGTGTGTGCGCATCTCTCAGGCGTGAAAGAGTTTCAATAAAGTAAACTTATATTAACCCCCGGAACTATTCAGATGAAAAGTCCTTTGTGGCACCTTCCCTCCTCTGTTTTGTGGTATATTTGTTACTCCTAAAGTCAGGAGTCACCCCGAACCACACACCTGTGACTGTTCTGACTTGTCAGTGCCTCCGTGAAACTGTTCTCAGTATCACTCCTGATTGTCCCTCCACAGACTGTAAACTTTCGTAAAACAAGTGTCACTTTTTAATTTATCGTAATTTCCACTTCATATAGGTAATACTTTATGTCAGGTAGTAACTAACATAAAGACTTACATTTAGTTGTACTCATGTATTTATTTAATATGTAAATAATGAATAAATATGCTTAAAACTTACTATGTAAAAGGTAGGATTTTTAACTCCTGGATTCAAAAGACAACAATGAGGTATTTTTCTTTTTTTCTCGGGCTCTTACTCTCTCCGTTTCTTCACACTGGCATGTTCTCCCCCTGGCGTTCATCCGCCTCTCACCCCAGCGCTGCCGCCCGCAGCCAGGCCCTTTGGCAGAGCTGCTGCTGGCCGGCGTTGCTCTAGTTCCGTACCAGCCTGTGTGATTCAGTGCTTAGGCTCCTGTCCACTCGGCCTGGGAGGATGGTTTTCATTCTTTCTGTGTCTGTGTTGGCCTCACCATCCTTCGCCGCCCTGCGTCTTTCCTCACGTCTCCTGTGCCTGTTCCCCTTTGCTTTCTGCTGCCACCCTTTGTGCTAAGGCCAGCGTTCAGATTGCTGCCGTTTGCGCTTGCATGCTTCCCTGCCAAGGTCTCTGTCCTCCCAAATCCATTACTAGACTAACTTTCCCAGGATACCAGGGAAAATTCTGGTTCTTCTCAGTGTCCTGCTCAAGAATTTAAAGTGGTTACCTCTTAATGCCTGTTTTAGATCAAAACTCTTGCCTGATTTTTAAAGGAATGTGACTTCATAGTACCTACCTACCCTCATTTATCACCATTCCACATTTGGCATAATGCTTTTCTCTACTAAGACTGGCTCCTTAGTATCCCAAGTATGCACCCTACTTCCAATGTAGCCATCCTGTCACCCTCGGGGAGCACTTTTGGCTTTATTTCCTGCTTGCTGTCCTCTTCTGAGCCACCATTCTTTCGGGCCCAACTGAAACCTCACTGTTCCGTGAAATTCAAGCTATTCTTGGTTTCTGCACTTTTGTCGGACTTTGTCACACTGATTAGAATTTACACTGGGACATTTCTAAGAAAAAAATGTTTTATTTTGCTCTCAGAGTGCAGGCCCTTGAGATGCTTGTTTGATGCTACTTTTGTACCCTCTATGGCCCTTGGTAGATACATGGTGTTTTGGACAGTGAGTTGCTTCTTGCTAGAGCCTCTCCTTGTGGCTAGCTGAACAGCAGTGAATCAGGTGGGTGGTTGAGGTTGCGGGTGACATGAGTTGAAAATTTTTGAAATTTTCCCCAAGAAAAAAAAATTTTAATTTTATGAGTTTCTGACATGAAAGTGAATGAATTAAACTGGTCTTCTTTGAAGGATAATTTGAGAAAATTCCAAGCAGTTGAGAACAGATGGCTGTTATGGAAGTGTGTTTGGCAAGCAGATTTAGTTTATATCTGTGTGTATCTGTATACACTGAGTGTTTATACACACATGATCATGCTTATGCACAATCTCTATGTAAAAAAAATCCTGATTTTCCAGTTTTCTTCCTACGTTGATGTATATTTTGGAAACGCTACCTTTTTTTCCCCCTTTTATTAGGGTAGAGTAAAAACCTGTTGTCAATATTTTGATGATGATCATTGATTTTTTTTTAAATACTAGTGTTATCCTTTATTCCTTAATTAGTGGCAAAAACTAAATTGAAATTTCATTTTAAATTGCTTAATTTTTACTTGAAAAAATTTTATAATGAAGAACGCTTTAAGTCCTGTGTTTGAAGTCCTGTGCTTTCTTCATCCATGTGTTAACGTTTCCTTGGATTTGGGTCCTAGCTAAAAACTCTGCAGAGCAATCAAAATCCTGTCATTAGAAACCATCTCTTTTTGCTCTTTGTGGTAGGTAAGAATAGAGACTATTTGAAGCAAGCTGCTGGTGAGGAGAAACAGTTGTTCCTTCAGCATGGGTGTACATGTACGAATGCTTGCTTGCCAGTCTGGCTTACACAGACTCGGGAGTGGGTAGGAAAGGCATTCAGCAATTATGAAAGTTTAATGCTACTAGATACCTAACTCAGGTGTCTCTACATTTCCAAAGCCTCTGCTAATTTGCCCAGGTACTCTGGCTTCTGTGTTCCCATAGCACTTGCCGTTCCCATGTTGCATTGCAAAATCTCTTCTAGTACCTGCCGGCAACTGTTCTGAGTGCTGGAGATAACATCAAGGAACAAAAGAGACGGAAGTCCCTGCCCTCATGGAGGGAACCTACAACAAATGGAGAGGAGACCTGCAGCTGACACACAACCATGCTCTCCCTCCAGATATTTGCCAGATTTTGAACCTACTTGGGATGCAAGGCCAAAGGGCCAATCCCAGAACTTCCAGAGGGTAGCAATAATTAGGGAGAGGCTGGTAATCAACCTAAAAATAATAAAATTGTGTAACATGTCAGTGGTGGTAACTGCTACGGAAAAAAAATCAGAATAGGAGAGATACAGAATTCAGGAATGAGGATTGCAGTTTTAAATAGGGTAGTCAGTATTGGCCTCACAAAGGCAATACTTGATGAAAGAATTAAAGGAAGTAAAGGAGTGAGGGGTCATGTAGGGAGAAGAGCATTTCAGTCAAAGTCATAGCAAAATCCACAAAGCAGAAACATGCCTGATAATATGTGAAGAACAAACAAGGAAACTTGAACGGTGACAGAGGAGATGAGAGGCGGGGAGCACATCCCCAAGCTCTTTAGACCTTCTTTAGTTTTACTCTGAGTTGAAAGAGAGAAGTTTTAAGTAGTTTAAACGAAAGACTGACTTAGTTAAAACAGCCACTCTGAATGTTGTGTTGAGAATAGACTAATAGGACAGGGGTGGAAACAGGGAGACTAGTTGGAGCCAATTGGGATTAATCTGGGTGATAAAGGAAGCTGGCTTAGACCAGGATAGGAGCAGTGGAGGTGGTGAGAAATGGCTGCGTTCTGGGCATACTTTGAAGGTAAAGCCAGCAAGATTTCTGACTGTCAGGTGTTTTTTTTTTTTGCAATAGACCCATCCTTTTAGTGAACTTTACCTCCTAAGCAATGTGAGACTGTGAGATTTCAATATGCCTTCTGATAGAGCCACTAACTTCTTGGCCATTCCAGAATTCAGCAAACTTCTCCTAGGGAAAGCGCCTTGCTTTGGGGATTCCTTTAGTTTCTAGTCACTTCACCAGCCCTGTATAATCAGTAACCAACAGGGTCAGATGGTTTCTCTTCAACCCAGAATAGTCTCCGTTTGGCCCAGCCTGATCCTCAGCCCTCAGCTAGAACTGCAGAAGGCCTCCAGAGAAGAAATGGTCAGCAACTGTCCTCTCATCTGGGAACAGCTCTTCACTGTCCAGAATTGTAGTTCATCTAATTCTTGTTGCTTCCACAGCTATCTCATGTCTTCAAATATATGTTCTTTGCAGTTTATCTTTTTTTTTTCCACCTTGCAGTGAGTGTTGGCCTGCCATGCCCATAGATTGGTGGAAAATGTTTGTGTGCATCATGGCAGAGGACTCTTACTCAGAAATACATAAGAATGTATGTTAAACTTGCAAATATAAAGAACTCTTGCAAGTCAGAAAAAAGAGGCAATTTTTAAAATAGGCAAATGACTTGAATAGGGGCTTCACTGTGAGGATATCCACATGGCCAGCAAGCATATGAAAAGGTGCTGAGCATCTTTAGTTATCAGGGGAATGTGAACTAGAGACATAACAGTACACGTCCACTGGAGTGGCTAAAATTTTCAAGTCAGTTGGAGCTCCCATACATTGCTGCTAGGTGTAAAAATTGTTACAACCACCTTGGAAAAAATTTTAACAATCTCCATTAAAACTAAACATATAACCAATCTCATAACCTAGTAATCTTCCTCCTATATATGTAACTCCAAGGTAAATGAGTGCATTCATCTAAAAGACATACGGTTTACATGAACATTGGAAGTAACCCAAATATTCCTCAGCAGTAGGATGGATCCATAAAGCATGGTGTATTTTTACCGTAAAATACTACACAGTAATACAGAGGAATGAACCACACATTATATGATTCCATTTACGTGAAGCTTAATAGTAGGCAAAATTAACCAGTGGTGGTAGGAGTCTGAAGTTCCAGTAGGGGCTTGAGGGTCTTCCAGAATGTTGGAAATGTTATGTAACTTGATCTCAGTGGTACTTAAACAACTGTGTGTGTATATGTGAAGCTTCATCAGGCATACACCTGAGATCCCTCCGTGCTGTGTGTATGCCATACCTCAGTCACTTCCAAAGTGTTACGTTAGCATGTCTGGCAGTTCCTTGATGATGAAGACTGTAGCTCATTTATTGCTGTAAGACCAGTGCATAAACACAAAAGCACTCAATAAATAAAGTGGAAGGAATTTAGGAATGAAATGAAGTAGGAAGTTAGTTCATTGGTTCACTAGTCTAGTTTCTTTTAACCCAGCCCCAGTTCCTTTGCTCACTGCTCGCTTGTCATAGTCTGAACTCTGTTGGCTGCAAAGTTGGAATAGTGATTTTACTGCTCAGGAAAGTACACCTAGCATAGGCCCTTTGCTGTTAGCCATCTGGACAGTAGGAAACAAGTCTGGGTGTACGGAGAAGGGGGAGACTTTTTAATTACATAGTGTAGATTAAGAATAACTCTCCAGTCTGTGACCCTGGTGAGTTCAGTGCTTTATACCCTCGTGTATTTCCACCTATCTCTCTTTTCTTCCCTGTTATTTAGCATTTGACAAATACTCACTGATCACCCACTGTTGCCTGGCCTTTTCAAGGTATCTGGCTCCATCAGTGAGTAAAACAGATAAGGATCCCTTCCCTCACAAGGCTGATATTGTGATGGGAGATGGCCAGGCCACAGTAAACTGCCTCCTTTTCTTACTTGTGGGTAGGATTCAAGCAGAACAAATACACACTTACAGGGAAACAAGAGCTTAGCCTGTATTCCCCCCTTCCTTTTTGGTAGGCTCAGTTCACTTGTCTTCTTGTTAAGCAGTGGGAAAAGACTTGTCACTTTGGATTAACTTCACAATGCCATGTGTCTAGGGGGATGTAATAAATATTTGTAGCCTTGGGGAGCATCTGTCAATGCCTGCTGATTTTCATACTTTTTTCTACCATCTGTCCTACTTACCTTTTTTTTTTTTAACTGTCACTTTTCTGGGAAAAGCTTGCTTTAAGATCTTAGAAAATATGTTTTCTGTAATGGTATGGCTTTGGGACAGCTGAGCCCTAGAATGGGTAGACCGAAGGCTGTGATATGCAGCATCAATCATCCTTTTGGAAAGTTCTGATCAGGAACCCAAATAGTTATTTTAAGAGTTAGGGTTGTTGTGATGCGTGTTCTTTTCATATACTGTTCTAAGTCTCATACTGTGGTAAAGATTAGATCTGGAAAGGTCATGTAGTACATCTGAGACCACCGAAATAAAACTGTTCAAGTAAAGTCCTAGAAAGAATGTTAAAGCATGAGTGTTCTCATTCAAAGCTTCCTGTTTAAAATTTGTTGTTTTTTAATGTGCAGAATTTTGTTAAATCAAATACTCTGTAGAAAGAGATTTCATGGAGATAAGGAGCCTAGCAATTTTGATGTGTATCTAGCGTAGAAAGTAAGGAATTAATTTATTTCCAATTGAGATTTGTTGTCGAAAAATGATCAGTGAAACAGAAAACCATTTCCAGATGCAGAGGAGAAAGATGGTACAATTTAGTAGAGAATAATTACACCTTGTATTTGCATAGTGCTTACTGTCCAAAAAATGTTTTCCCGTGCCGTTTTATCCTCTCAGTAACCCAGTGAGATGTGTATTTTTAACTCCTATTTTAATAGATTTAGAACTAAGAGGTATTAATTGACTTGCCCAAAATCAGTTGCTGGTAGGTGTCAGAATTGGGACCCTCTGATTCTAAACCCCTCAAATTCTTTTATGTTATGCCTTTCTGAAAATTTTACGCAGCAACATATAGGCCGCTTTGGCAGAGAAAGGAAGTCCTGAAACCAATTTTAGTGATGCTAAAGGCACATCTGAAATCAGGAATCTGAAAAAGCAGAATAACTGCCCTGCTTCTGTGAGGGCGAAGGTGATATTGTGCCCAGAGGTGAGAACGTGGTGATCTTCTGATCACTCCGTGGGCTGATAGGAGGGAGTCCTCAGTACTCAAAGGTGAACTTTTGGATGAAGTAATACCTAGTGTAGTATTTCTTCTAGACTAAATTCATGGCTTCTGTGGTGCCAGTAATTCTGTTTCTCTGTAACCTCCATCTCTAGGAGCCTCCAGAAGATGATGCAAACATCATTGAGAAGATCCTGGCGTCTAAGACTGTCCAGGAGGTTGGTGGCTGATGTTCCTGGCTTTTATATCACTAGCACAGATTACACCCTCTGTGAAGAGATCCCTGGCGGGATAGCCTGGCATGGTCGTTATTGGCCGGAGTGAGAGCTGGGCAGGAACACCGCTGGGCTCGTCGACACTTCCTTTTACCCCCATGAAAGATTTTAGGACATAAAGTTCTTAAATATTTGCGTATGGCCCAAACCGATTTCTTTTCTTCATTACAATCCGAGCAAAAGGTACTTAACCCTTAGTTGCTGTAGCCCGTGCAAAGCCATCAGAGGGCCAAGAAAAAGAGATGGAAAAAGGCTCCCAGTCTTTTCCTTTAGACATCTCAGGAATCCTCTAGAGAAAATTCCTGGTGTGAAAGAGTATGTTGGTGCCAGTGGGAGCGTGGTTCCGTCTTTACTTCAAGTATTTATAAAAGTAAACTTCCTTACTTTGAGAGTGAACATCGCTGGTGTTTGGGTGACAGCTGGGGGAGGTGGGCACCAGGGGTGCATGTTCTCACTTATGCACGCAGCTCTCAGAGCAGCTTTAAGAGCCCGGGGCCGGTTTGGCTTTATCAGCTGAATGCTGTCCCAGCCTGACCTTGGAAGGACACCAGGAGGATCTTTTTTTTTTTACCTTATAGCTATCTGTGTGTTCAACCTTTAGAAAACTTGCTCAAAAGCTGTCAGAAAAAGACATGAGGAAATGAAAATATCCTCAAGAAATCTGTACTAGAACCAGGAAGAAGTGTGATCTCCCTGTTTTCTTTTGGCACAGAAGGGTGATCTGTGGGGATCTGGGCTGATAACTGCTTGCTTTTGGTTACAGGTTCACCCAGGAGAACCCCCGTTCGACTTGGAGCTGTTCTATGTCAAGTACAGAAATTTGTATGTCTGTTTAATGTATTATTTGTACTTTATATGAATAAAACTTCTTTCTTTCATCACATCATTATCTTCTATATTTTCCAAGAATGGCCCCTAAGGCATGACCCACAGATCTTGATTGACTCAAGTTCACCTTAGGCGACCGTGCTCAACTTTGGCTGCACATAGAGTCACCTGGAGAGCTTTTTAAAACTGCTGAAGCCCTTGCTCCACTCAAGACCAGTTGGCTCATACTCTGGGAGTAGTTCCCAAGGATTGGTGTATTTTAAAAACTCCCTCTAAGTTCCCACTTGCCCGCAGAGTGGAGAATGACAGGCCTATACTTTTATGCCCTCTTGCATTTTTCTCTCTTTTTCTGCTATGTGCCTACTTTCACTAAGGTGTATTAACGATAGCCTGCTTACACCTGCCCTCCCTCTGCTCTGAGCCAGTTTCTGTAGAAGCCACAGAGTGACCAGTTGCTTGTAATTGCTGCATTGTTTTGTTTTCTGTTTTTGAAAGGGCAAGGCCCTTCTAAGCCCAGTCTCCAGCAATTTCCCAACAAGCCACTCCCTGCTGCTGTGTTGGATAGTCACCCCGGTTATTGAAACACTTTAAAGCTTGATGATTTGCACTTGTCTCACAATTTATGTGTCTTTGGATAGTTCCTACTTACACTGTAAATGGGCCACAATGGAAGAGCTTGAAAAGGATCCTCGCATCGCACAGAAGATCAAGCGATTTAGGAATAAACAAGCCCAGATGAAGCACATTTTTACTGAGGTGAAGAAATATTTACTAGCTAATTTGACCACTGCTTTTCTTGCAGTATTAAATTCCGAGTTTAAGTTTCTTGAAGTCTTGTACAGACCTATTGCTGAAGTCAAATTGCTAGGTGTGCACTGATTTATGACAAAAGTTGTCCAGATTTAAGCCAAAGAACACAAATTATCCACCAAGGAATAAGGATCAAGCCTTATAAACTGATAACTCATAAGCATGTGCATCTTGGTCAGAATACCTATAAATAGCTTAGGCAAAAGGAATGTGCACATAGTTCTTTCATTTCCTCATCCCCTGATCCCCAAAAGGGCAGTTCCAAAAAGAAAGTTTGAGTGTTAAAAATGAAAACAAAGTTAAAATATTATAACAGAAGTAAAACAATATATAAACTTGGGAATTTCTGAGTAAGGTACCTACAGCAAGAGGAAGGATTGATGGATTTGGATATCAAAACATCTGTAGTGTCTATAAATTAGAAAATGGCCCCAAATCTTTAATTAGAAAATATGTATATATTTATTATGTATGTGTACATATTTCCCAATTACATACATGCACACATACATGCAAAGCATACATTCTTATCCTATATGGAAACCATCTTATATTTATACACACACGTTACACACACATATATACATAGCACAAATAGCTTTAATGATAAGAAATGGTCTTATAATTCAAAAAGAAAAATACAAAATCCCAAATAGAAAAAGTGAACAAATTAATGGGGAATTCAGAAAAGGGGAAAATTGGTCATTAACCATACAAAAATGTAGTCAATTTCACTAGCAGAGAAATGCAAATTAAAATGGGAATCTTCTAGTTTTTACTTATCACATACTTGAAGGGTTTAAAAGTAAGTATCTGTTGCTGGTGAAGGTACAGGGAAGAGACACTCTTGTCTGTCACTGGTTGGGAGTATAAGTTAGGATGACCTGTCAGAAGAGCAGTATGACAGCAGACATCAGATGTCTCAGTGTTTACATATCTTTTGTCCCAGCAGTTCTAATTTCGTCATTTATTTTAAGGAAGTTATCCAGTCTTTGTGCAAAGACTTAGGAATGATGAACAGTTGTTTGTATTGATGAAAAACTGAAAACAAACAAAATGTTAGATAATAGATACCTGTTAAATGATGCTACATCCCACAGAATGCAATACTATGCATCTAGTAAAAATGACACTGGAGGACAACTACTAATGAGATAAAAAGAGCTTGATGTTATAAACTGTTGTTAGTTGAAAATGTCAGGCTCTTACAGTGTATGAGATGGTTCCATTTTAGGGGGTATAGGAGAAAAAGAATCACCATAATAATGCATAGAAAATGTTTGAATATACATGAAAATGTTGACATAATTTTCTCCACTAGATGGGATCGTGGTGATTTCTATTTTCTTTAACATGTAACTTTTCAATTTTATACAGATAACTTACGAGGAAAAAAGCAATAAAAATTATTTTTTATGTGTAGTCACAAATACAAGACCTTAAGGGTGCATTCAGATGCCATCAAGTTGATGCCCATGCTAACCAATTCATTGTTCATGTTGTACTCCTCTTCTGCAGATGACAAAGAGTAATGTGAATAAGTCTTCTTCCTGTCCCAGTGTGGGGTCCTGTCTCTTTAGCATTAACGTTTGGCCCTGGGCCTCTCCATGATTTCCAGGATTGTTGGAAAGCCTGTGAGAATTCGGTTTCCTGGCATTGTTTCTCTGATAGAGACTCAGGGAAAGGAAGGACTGGACTTGGGAAACCCATCTTGAAGCCCTGTTGGATACTCTTCCTCGGTTCTTGGAACCTTTTCTTCACACCTCTATTTTAGCAAGCATTTGCAGTGTAGTGACTTGTTTACATGTCTGTGTCTTCCATTTTGAGCCCTACGAGACAGACAGGGCCATGTCTTCCTCATGTTTCTATCCGCGGTACTAGGCACAGGGTCAGTGCTCAGTCATCACTTGGCTGTGCCCGGGCAAGAGAGGAGGGTTGCCTTGTGCCACCTCTGCTCCAGACCCATCAGCACTTCCTGCTTTTTTGGAATAAAGTCCAGACTCCTAGTTTCTGATTCATTTCCAAGATTGCGATTTTTCCTCGGGTTGAGAATAGAGAGAAAATTGTGTTAGGGTGTGTAGAAATAATGTAACGGAGTTCACACTCCTGTGGGAAGGAACGGCTTTAGAGAAGATAGAGGAAATCATGAAAGGAAGGAGGAGTAAGAGTGGGGAGTAGTTCCTATAATACCATCTTCAGTTTTGACCTATTCAACACTTTTATTGATAACTTGCAGAAATGATATTCTTAGGAAATTTTTTAAAACTTCGTTTTTTTGTGTGTTGGCGGGGCAGGGGATAATTAGGTTTATTTGTTTGTTTATTCTTAGAGGAAGTACTAGGGGTTCATCGCAGGACCTCATGCATGCTGAGCATGCGCTCTACTGCTTGAACTATAACCTCCCTCCCAAAAGTAACTTAGTTTTGAATAGAGCTTCATACCCATTATTTCCAGCTGCTTTATGACGCAGGCAGGGGCACATGGGAAGGTGAAGCAGACTCGGAAGGCCCTGACTTCCCAGGCGCCGCAGGTGGAGGCCATCTGTCAGACCCTGCCTCCTAAACGCCAGACCCAGCGCTGGGAGAATAAATGACAAAGTCAAAGTTCAGGCTTACCTGGACAAGATGACATGAATGAAAGAATGACGGTGGCAATAAATTAATGTCACACATTGGTATTTTTAAATTTTTACAACTTTGGTGTGGGGAAGATGACTGGCTAGCCGTTCTAAGGAAGAAAAGATATTGCCAGCTTAATTTCAAGTTTACTGTGAGCCAGGAGTCGGGTGGGGCTGCTTAAAAAGCAACACGAGTCCTCACAGCACCAGTGGACTAGCCCTGCCGTGCCTGCTCTTTTCATTCCTAAGTGTTGTGTTGATCTGGGGACCAGGATTCGGTGAGGGGCTTTATAAAACCCGAGAGCAGCTGCAGGAGGACTGTACCGCTGGTCCAGGGTCAGGAGCACGTCTGAGTGATTGAGAGCAAGGGCAGAAAGTGGATGCACAGTGCTAGGCGCCTGGGCTCTGGCACCAACCTCCCCCCAGCCCACCCCCACAACATGCACTCACACACACACACACAGCTGGGGTCCTTGGGCAGTAGCTCCTTCAGACTCAGTAGGCTCCATTTTTGCAAAGCAGAACCTCTAATAGTATCAGCCTCACAGAATACCCGGGTGGGTTAAATGACACAGTGTTGATGGAAGTGCTCAACACTGCCTGGCCCATGGTCACTGCTCTCTGGAGATCAGCTCTCCACATCACCAGGAGATCTGGAACGCGACGTCCGAGGGCCACTGAGCACCTGGGTTTAGGGAGGTGTTCAGATGCAGGGGAGAGAATCAACTTGGTTACTGCTGCTGTAGAGGAAGCAGTTCCCACCAATGAGTCATGGTTCCAGGGAGAAAATCAGGCCGTAATTTAATAGTAGTAATGATAAAGGTAATGGTGTTCCAACTGAACAGGCTGAAGCAGAGCTGTCTTGGCTCTGGGTCAGGTCTTAGAGGGCAGTAAACTCCTGAACATGGGAATAAAGGAATCTGAGGATGGACTTGCCAGGGATGCTATAAAAAAGTATTCGTGCATTGATTGGAAGATGAAACTAGACAGCTCCTGAAGAGCCCTCCAGCCCTAAGGGGTGAGAAGAACACTTCCTGCAGTTCAGGAAGAGGGCTTCTGGGCAAGAAAGACCTCGGTAAACATTCCAATTCACATAGCTTTGCAACCACGGTCACTACTTATTTTAACTCTCTGAGTAGTTTTCTCATCTGTAAAGTAATTACAGCGCCTGCTGCTCCACAAATTCATCTGGAAGCTTAAATGAAAGCACCTAGAATAACTCTGGACACACTTTAAATATTTCTGAATCTTTTTTCTTTTTGTAAGTACACTTTTTTTTGAAGCATAGTGTACTGAACAGTAAACAAATCCTAAAGGTATCATTCAATGAATTTTTACAAAATAAACACGCCTGTGTAACCACCACCTAGATCAGGAAATAGAGCATTATCAGTACCCCAAAAGCTCCCCTTGTGTCTCCTTCCAATGTTAACTGTTAACTGTTGTTGGTATTAAGAAGTAAAAGAACCTAATTCTGGGTTTTGAAGGTTATCTCTGGAAACCTTCCTTGTGCTGATTTTTGTGCACTGCTGTAATGACCAACAGGTATGAACAGTCATGGCTTACCCTGGCCATGGTGCAACCTGTAAGGTGTGGTTCTTTAAATTTAGTCCTGAAGAGCAGGATCTGGGGGCATTGAAGAAATGTCGATGAGGTGACGTTTATTATCAAGGGAACATTTTCATTCTGTGTTTTCTGATAGGGCCCAGAGTAGGAGGTCACTTGAAGATAAAACACTAGATGTTGGATTGGAGAGAAGAGGACACGTTTTAACTTTTCTTTTCTGTTTGCCTTAGCCTGACGAAGACTTGTTCAACCCAGACTACGTGGAGGTTGATCGCATCTTGGAGGTGGCCCACACCAAGGATGCAGAAACAGGAGAGGTGGGTATTTTGCCATTCTGACTCCCTTAATATGTCTTCCCTTCTTGCTTCATGTTTTGCTTGTTTTGTTAACATGTGGTCTTTGTTTTCATGGCTTTTGTGTGCTGTATTGTAAGGAGGTTTTCATAGGGCAGTCAGTGTAGGACGGACTCCTTGGATCCAGTAGAAAGAACATCAGTTTCTCTCCTGTTTCCCACCAGGAAGTGACACATTACCTGGTGAAGTGGTGCTCGCTGCCTTACGAGGAAAGCACGTGGGAGCTGGAGGAAGACGTGGACCCTGCAAAAGTTAAAGAATTTGAATCTCTGCAAGTTCTCCCTGAAATTAAGCACGTGGTAATGTATCCGTGTCACTCTTGGCACCTCTTATAACGTATAATTTTAGGGCCTTGGCAATCCTGGATGTCTGTCGGCTGAGCTCCCAGGTGGTTTCTCTGTCTCTTACTACCTGTGGTTCAGAGTGTGTTTCTCCCCAAATTACACTTTATTAGCACTCAGGTCAGCTTAGGTCTGGACTCTACTTTAACATATGTGACATTTAAGAAGCTTGAACATGAGCTTTGATTTCTTGGTATATGGCTGTTAGATGGAGTCAGTAAGATAGAAGGAGTAAGAAATGCCTGGCTTGGGAAAGAAGCTTAGTAAGTTGTTAAACATCTTTCTTGTTTCCTACTTCTTATCTCTTGCTCTATCGGTGATCTCTTTTCTTTGGTTTTATCCTTTGCTTTTACTCAATTGGAATGTTCTTAAAGGGAAGAACTATCCTTTATCTATGGATCCCTGGGACTTCACAGAGAAGTCATAGGTTTTCAGTATATGTTTGTTGAGTTGGTTTGTTTTTCTGACTCTGGATTATTACTACCAAGCTGCAAAAGTATGGGCCTGTTTCTCTTCTTCATTAATTGCTTGAAATTTCTTAGAGGTGTTCTTAGTTTAATCTGGCAAAATCTAGAAAATACAGGGCCTACACATTAGTCAGAGATAGTGATGCAGTCCATAGCCAGCTTTAGGACAGTGTTTTTTTTTTTGAGATTTCCCGCTTTCCCCATCATCACCCTGAGTCCCTCTCCGTGCTGCGCTCCTGAAATGTCATGCTCTGTGTCTTGTGCTCTCTGCTTTCCCCCAAGGAGCGGCCTGCTTCAGACTCGTGGCAGAAGCTGGAGAAGTCTCGAGAGTATAAGAACAGCAACCAGCTCCGGGAGTACCAGCTGGAGGGGATGAACTGGCTTCTTTTTAACTGGTACAACAGGTGCGGAGCCAGAACCAGTCTTGTCTTCGCGGATGGTTCTTCTCCCACATGTGTATGCCTCCAGGGGGACTGTGGCTTAGCCCACTTAGGGTGGCGGCAGCAGAGTGGTGAGAGAGTGCCGCGTGGCTGTCGGGTCAGTGTGGGGATCTTTGTGCATCAGGCGTTACTAGGACTTTATGTCACGTGTTTCTTCAGCCAAAAGGAATGGTCTTTAGACATCACTGACTTTGCCCTTTTATTCCTTCGCCAGTCTAGCCAAAACGTTAGGCTCAACCTAGATGAAACAAAACCTGAAAGATCCTTTAAAGCTGGTTTTTTTGTTTGTTTGGTTTTTTTTTAATCTCCAAGTCTGTAGCAGAAATTGTCTCTGAAGGGGAATGGCTCTGGATTGTAGCCCCAGCTCTGCTGTTGGTGAGCCATGGTGGTCTAGACTTGTAATGTCATACTCTGTTTTCAGCTCTTTGTGCTTTAGTTCCTGTGAGAAGCTGGAATGAAACATGAAATTTAAGAAAGATAGGTTAAGATTTTCTTAACATTCTAGAGTGGTACCACCTAATACTGATTTTAAAGACAACACGTAGGCGAACACACTCCAAGCTGGGACTGTGGAGACCTGTGTTCTAGCATTGTCCCTGCCGCTTCGTCACAGTGTGACTCAGGACACAGCTCACTGAAGCGTTCCAGGTCTGAGGTTGCCCACCTGAACAGTGAGGAGTGAGACTGGACAGGGGCCACACACTTCAAGGGTCACAGCGCTGTGCAGTCTGTGATTCTGGGTCACTGCAGAGACCAATTTTACTCTTATATGGAATTTAGTGTGAGGGTTAAAAGTCTGTCCTTTGATAACACAAGTGATAGACAATGAGAACCATGTAACTTTTGTTTTTATTTTTGCCTTGGCTTCCATGAAGTTTGTCAGGTACAGAAACTGGCTTAGGTTTGCGGCATTTTTCTTTCTCCTTGTCTCACTGTTGTTTTAATTTTTAGTACTTTCTGTTTATATTTAAGTGGGCCTGTTTGGTGTGTTTTCTCACAAGTTGCTGTAATTCCTTTTTGAAAGTAGACAGGGTGTGAATAATGATAATAAAAACTTGCCTCAGTTGCATCTCTGGAAAATGCTGATAAAGCCTTCACCAATGACCTTACAGGTCAAGGTGTGCTTCTGAAGTATGTTTTTTAGTTACAGCCAATCTCTACCTCTTTCCTGTATTGATGATGAATTATCTGTATTTCTTACTGTCTGCAGAAAAAACTGCATTTTGGCTGATGAGATGGGCCTAGGGAAAACCATCCAGTCCATCACATTCCTTTCAGAAATATTCCTCAGGGGAATCCACGGCCCCTTCCTCATCATCGCCCCGCTCTCCACCATCACTAACTGGGAGCGGGAGTTCCGGACGTGGACCGAGATGAATGCCATTGTGTACCACGGCAGCCAGATCAGCAGGCAGATGATCCAGCAGTATGAGATGGTGTACAGAGATGCACAGGTGAGCCTTCTGCATCTCAGAGTGCCCCAGGGAGAGCCCGATGTCATAGTTCAGAACAGTCTTTCTGTCCCTCGTCTTCCAAAGTTTCACGTCCTGGGTTACTGTTGACTTACTCTATAGAGTCACATGTTTATCGAGGCAGACTTCTTACTCCTCCCTGGTAGTTTAACTTACAATAAAACAGAATTGGAGGGCATGCTTTCCATTCTTTGCCATTTACCAGAGACTCTTTTTAAGACGTTGAAATTTTGGCTTCTTGTATTGGCTTATGAAGTTGCTTTTACATGGAGGAGATTTTGGGGGAATTTTTGTGTGCTCAGTGAAGAAAGTGAGCAGAAGAATTCATGTATGAAGGAAGGGTTCTCAGACAGGGAGTCTGAAGAGAGAGGAGGTTAACAGATATGACAGGGAAAGATAAGGAGAAAACAGGATTCAGATTGTTAATTCTATTGTTCTAGCACAACAGAATTTTTTAAAAGTTTCTGTTAAGTATAATCACTTTGCTGAGTATGCTCGTATGCTTGTCCTGAGCACTGGCTTTTATAATTAAGTAAGGTGAAAATTAAATGAATTCCAGCAGAGGAAAGGCTGTGCTCTCCCCAGAGGTTTCAGAGACAGAGAAGACACTTGGAAGGTGTGCTCCAGCGTGATACAGCTCTGCTCTTACAGTGTGACAGCAACACTAAGACAGGCTGAAAGACAGCAGTGTGTCCTGCCTCATGGCATTTGTCCCAGGTGAATCAGGATCATGACTTTGAATCTGTGCTAGAACCCAAGCTACAAGGTGAAACTAATCATACCTGAAAGTAGCAAAGAGGGTTTCCTTGGGCATTCAAGCTGTGTATGGTTTAGACCAACTCCTGGCTGGAAATGTGTGAATCAACACCCACCTGCTTCCCTCATCAGGACAAGTAATAAACAAAAAGCTTCCTTGCTTGGCCTTCCGTACTGCTCATCTGTCTCACTTTTGTGAGGGTACGTGCCCTCTTGCTTCTGTTCCACTGTTATAGTGGGGTCTCTCTCATCTGCATAGCTGGCTCATTCTTGTATTCTCTCTCTTCTCAAATGACAAAGACAGTGCTTATTAAAGTGCTGCCTCTTCTAATGCAGCTGGTAACCCATTAGCTGGATTCTCTAGCCATGTGTAAAGCTCTGCCTTTGGTTGTGTCATTCTCAGGGAAACCCCCTGTCAGGAGTCTTCAAGTTCCATGTCGTCATTACAACATTTGAGATGATCCTGGCAGACTGCCCCGAGCTGAAGAAGATTCACTGGAGCTGTGTGATCATTGATGAAGCCCACAGACTGAAGAATAGGAACTGCAAACTTCTGGAGGGTCTAAAGCTCATGGCCCTGGTGAGAACTGGCAAGCTCTCTGCGTAAACACAGGCTCCTTCTGTTCACGGCAGAGGAAGCATTCTTTAGCCATCTGCACGCGGCTTACTTGTGCACAGTCTGTTTCCCCGACATTTTCTTTTTGCCCTCTATTGCCATGATAGTGCAGGAATCAAACGTTTTTTTGTTAAGAACTGGGTCAACAATTGGACCTTTGCCACAGATTGATTCCCAGAGAGACCCAGGGGAATCTTAAATACCATGAGATTTGTGACCTACAAATGTAAGATGTTTTGGCTTGTTTCCAGGTCCCTGAATGATCTGGTACAAAGATGATGGCCTTTAACATTACTGCCTTGGCATAGTGCCTAGTATGTGGCAGGCAGGCGCTCAGTAATACTGAAAGAATGAATGGTTGCTTTAACTAACATGAAATTGCTGCAGAGCTCAGGGATATGAAGGGAAGGTTGAAGTGTTTATTAACTGAATACCCATGACGTGTTGTCACCCTATTTTGTCATAAAAGCAAAATAGAATTGCTCCAAACTGAGCTTCATTTTCCCACCCAAACCGCTGTTTTTGGCGGCTCAGACCCTGTTGATCACGTGCTGTGAATCTGTGCAGGAACACAAGGTGCTGCTCACGGGGACCCCCTTGCAGAACTCGGTGGAGGAGCTCTTCAGTCTGCTCAACTTCCTGGAGCCATCACAGTTTCCTTCAGAGACTGCTTTCTTGGAGGAGTTTGGAGATCTGAAAACAGAGGAGCAGGTAACTAGGGGCCTGAAGGATTTGAGGATTACCTTCATCATCAAGGGAATACAGTCACTGTGGGGACAGAAGTTAGCAAGTCCTCATGTCCCTGGGAAAATGTGCATTGCCCTTAATTTATTTGTCTATGTTGAAGAGGGTAAACTGATTATTAGCAGTTCTTATTACTCCAAAGGATAAATGAATCAACATCCAAAATACCTTATATCCGGACTCTTGCCTTCACTGATCTCATACATAAGTTCAGTATTTTGTTCATCGCTCTGGCCTTAGGCATGCTTCTGTCCTCCTCTGCTTCCCTCAGCCTTTGTCTCTCCTCATAAATCATCTGCAGCATGTTTCCAGGCTCGTTTTCTTGAGGACAGCAAAATACACAGGTAGTAAGGAAAAGAAGACAAACGTTTACTAGAGTAGTTGGTAAGACCAATTTTGTCCAAATTGACTGAATTTTCAAAAATCTAGTCCTGAGTCTAGCTTCTTGGACTCAAAGCTGATTCAAAACAAACCGACACTAATAAATATATATCTACCATGAGTAGAAATCTCAACTAGACATTACAGGAATAAGGCAGGCAAGTTTAAATGCCATAAGAGAAACAAATAATAGAATGGAGGACTTTAAAGAGAGGGCGGTCACATCTCTTTGGGAATTAGGAGAGGCTTCATAGAGAGAGTACAGCTTGGGATGGACTTCAGGGTGGGTAAGTTCTCATTAGGGGGAGAGGGAAGAGATGGTTATGACTTTGCATAAGAGAAAACAATCTCAGCATAATCAGCCACGGAATTTATTCAGTAGTAGGGAATCGTCGGGTTGAGCTGGAAACAGGACGGATGAATTGTGGAGTATGAAGCCAGAGGAGTTTAGCATTAAATTGTGGGAAGATCTTGAAAGGCAGGTTGGCAAATGTGGTAGGTATTCGAGAAGAATGCAAGGCTTTGCTTGCTGGAATGACATAATTAGTTCTGCTACATTAGTCTAGCAGTGGGGTGAGAGTGGGTTGGGGCAGAGAATGTGGGAACTGAGAAGGTTTGGGAATTTCTCTAACAGATGTCAAGAGTACACTCTGTGGTTCCAGTCTGTTTCTACTTCTGTGGCGAGTCAGACTTTGAGAGCAGTGAATAATCAAACTTAATTCTACTTCTTTATGCTTGCAGCGTCTGTTGATCTTTCAAAAGCTAGCTCCAACCCTCTCTCCATTTTTGGACCATTAGAAATGCATCCTCCTTTCCCGTTGCACTTATTTGGTGGCATGCATTTTTTCTTCTTCCTAGACAGTGACCTCCTTGAGGACAAGGCCCACATCTTCTCCAGAGCTGTGTTTGTTGTATTGACCAGCACAGTGTCTTGCATGTAGTATACTCTAAATGATTCAAGGTATGAGCCAAATGAAGGGCAAAAGCTGAACCCAGCACATGGCAGACTGGCATTTATCCCTATCTTTACCAGTTAGCTGGCTGTGTCTTTCCTCTTCGGATTCTTGTATAGTAATTCCTTATCCATCTGGGGGATTATATCCCAAATACCAAGGTTGGTAAAATAAAGCTCTTGTTAAATGGGTTAGATTTAAGATTGGGGTTAGTTAGGAGAAAACCATAAAAATGGCACTTAATGTCTGTACATTTTAATGGAGGTACAGGGGATTGAACCCAGGACCTCAGGCATGCTAGGCATGCACCCGACCACTGAGCTATTCCCTCGCCCCTAAATGTCTATACATTTTAAATCACAGTAAATAAAAGTTCTAGAAAGCATTTTGTTACAAAGTAAAGCATATTCATCATTGTTTAAAACCAGTTCCAGTAAGTAACTCTTCTAAATCATGCTCTATGAATGACTATGTATTTCATCTGGATGCATTGGTACAGCCCACAAGTTATTTATGCAAAATCTGCCCCTTTTAAAAATTTTGAACAGCTCTTTATGACTGGAAACTTGTCTCTTTTCTTTTTCCTTTTGCACTTGCATTTTCTCTTATTTTCCCACCAGGATTAATCTTACTGGTATTGTGTTTTAGCTAAGTTTAACTCAGGTGCCTTGACTTTGGATCCCTTCTCTGCCCTCTTGGGAGAGTGGGCAAGTCAACTTGCCGGTGCAGTCAAGCGCGTAGAGATCTGCTGTCCAGGCCTGAGTAGGAGAAGAACAGACAAGTCACAGCAAAGAATACGGTCAAGTGCCCCTGAAGTGACAGCTTGCATGACGGAGCAGGAGGGGTCACCTCACCACCTTAACTCTGTACATCGCTGCCCCCAAATGTGTTTTCTGCTGTCGTTATTTAGATGTGGGAGGAACCTGTTTCAGTCTGCCTCTGCTTTTTTTTTTTTTGATATAAATGACATATAACATTATATTAGTTTCATATATATATCATAATGATTCAATATACGTAGTGTTACAAAATGATCACCACAGTGTATCGTTAACATCCATCACCACACGTAGCTTTAATTTTTTCTTTCTAGCGATGGAGCTTTAAAGATTTACTCTCTTAGCAACTTTCAAATACACAATATAGTATTGTTAACTATAGTCATCTTGCTGTACATTACACCCCCAGGACTAATTTGTTTTATAGCCAGAAGTGTGTACCTTTGACCACTTTCATCCATTTTTCACACCCTCTGTTTCTTACTTTGTTCTTTCAGCATCTCCTTCCTCTGTAATAGATCACTTGTACCTCTTACCATGGCTTAAAACATTCCTCAGGTAATTGCTGCACATGCACATGCTACGTGCATGTTAGAGAGAGGTTTGTTTTCTCCATCCTGGAGAATAGGTACTGTCTTTCGTACCTTTCTCCCTTTGTATCTTGTAAGGTCACCACATAGGTTCTCAGTAAGTACTTGCAAATTGAAACCGGATCCCTTTTTTCCTTTCAGTCCTATTATAATCTCGTCATACTCAGGGATCAGTCATGATCTTTCATTTCATCTACTACCACAGCACTATGATGAGATGCTCAAGAGATTGTAGTGGATGTTGGAATACTTCAATAACCAGTATTGAATCAGAATCGGGACGGGTGAACAGATCTCGTTTTCCTGGACAGGTGAAGAAACTGCAGTCTATCCTAAAACCAATGATGCTTCGACGGCTGAAAGATGACGTGGAAAAGAACCTTGCTCCCAAGCAAGAGACGATCATTGAGGTAGAGCTGACCAATATCCAGAAAAAGTACTACCGTGCCATCCTGGAGAAGAATTTTTCCTTCCTGACCAAGGGGGCCAATCAGCACAACATGCCCAACCTCATCAACACCATGATGGAGCTGAGAAAATGCTGTAACCACCCCTACCTGATCAACGGTGAGTGGGGCCGTGGGAGCAGCTCAGACCTGGTGTGGGCCTCACAATAGCCGGCGGTGTTGCGTACTGAGTTCCCATGAAGTGCTAGGGTGTGTGTTCTCACCTGTTTGCAGAGAATTAAACTGAGTTTCCAAGAGGTTGATGGATCTGCCTCAGCACTGTAGCCAGTGAGTACACAGAACCCCATTTTGAACCTACCTCAGCCAGTTCTCTGCCTATCAGAAGGTAGATGCCACTCATCAACCCGCTGTGCTTTGTTTACTGTGGTCTCGCCCTCACTTTCCACTTCATTGAGTAAATGATCGTGGTGTAAAAAGATGAAAACTCTCTGCAGATAAATTCACAGTTAACTGTACTAAGTAAAGAACATGTCAGAGGCCTTTTTTTTGGCAATAAAACTTTTGATTAAATTTTAAATCCAAATGTGGCTTGGATTTGCTGGTAGCTAGTTTTCCTATCAAGAGGGATGTCTTTTTGTCAGCTTTCTGTGAAGGTTTCTTTCCTTGCGTAAGTCAGCTTGGTATTTCAGATCCTCTCTACTTGGTCAGACTTCCCCGGAAAGCCAAGCACCTGTGTTCACTGCAGGACAGCCCTGCTGCGGCTGTCGAGTCCTCCCCTGAGGGCACAGGCCGAGGTGCACACAGCATTGCCTCACTGGACTGTCGGTTCGGGACCTGAGAATTCACTTCCTTAGTCCTAGGCTCTGTCAGGCAGAGAGTAGCTCTTACCCTTACAGTTTGTTCATGAAATAGTTTTGTTTCATTCTTTTTCAGGGGCAGAGGAGAAAATTTTGGAAGACTTCCGGAAAGCTCACAGCCCTGATGCCCCTGACTTTCAGCTACAGGCCATGATTCAAGCAGCCGGGAAGCTGGTGCTGATTGATAAACTGCTCCCGAAGCTGATTGCTGGTGGCCACAAAGTACTCATCTTCTCCCAGATGGTGCGCTGTCTCGATATCCTGGAAGATTATCTCATCCAGAGAAGGTGAGACTTGTGTCAAAGCTATGTATCAAGAGCTGCGGGCAGTTCCTTTTCTTTGATGCCTTTTTGATTCATTCAGAAATTATGTTTTAACAACAAAGCATTAAAAAAAAATAGAGAAAAGGACTCTTCTCTTAAAGATTGCCTAAAATTCAGAGTTGAATCTCATGACCAGGTATACCCAAGTTTAACTGTCTAGAGTGGATTTCCTAGCCTTTGATATGGAACCCTGGCTTTGCTTTAAAAATAAACTTTACATGTTTATTTATATTCTCTTTAATTGGAAGAAACAAAATTCAAGTAACATTACAGAAGGCTAGGAAAATAACATACTTACTTTTTTTCCGGCCTTACTAATGATGAGGGAAATATGTCCTGGAAGGCATCACTATATCAAGTTGCTAAAAGAGCACAAGCTGACAACTCCCCCTGAAAGAATTTGGGGATGTTTTATGTCCTTTTTCAGCAAACCCTCTAAGGTTTTATGATACAGTAGCTATGGCATCCCAATTTATTTTCTTGCTCATACTTCTGTGATTCCTTGGACCTAAGTTCCATTTCTCATGCAGGCGGAGCCTGTGATGCTATGGGGGTTGTGTGGATTCTGTGTGGGTACTGCATTTGTTTACACCGTACCTTGCATTTTCAGTCATCGGGATACATTAATGATCTGAAGATGGCAAATAGATTTTTAAAATTTACTCTTAATGGAAAAGACTTTTCAAGATCATAGAAACTATTAGCTAAGGCATTGCTAAGTTTAAAGGAAATCTTTGTTTTTAGATAGTCATCATAGCAAATCTCAGTTGTGTTAGATATTCTGATCCTTGAAGATCCTGTTTGTCCTTAAAACATGTAGTTTATAGAAAAAGTGTGAAAGGAAATGACAAATTTAACTATGCATTATGCTGACATCTAACATTACATAAATAATTCTCCAAAATTGGATAAGGCAATAAAAGAATTTCTCAGAACCCTGTATTAGAGATCTTTAGGTAAAGAATTCTTGAGACTTATATTTTTATTTTGAGGGATATATCAAAGCTAGAAAGCAGTTTCATATTTTATAAATGCACTATAGATGAATTTCCAGAACACTTGCTTCTTTTATAAATATATCATCTCACTCTTTGAAATATATACAACTACCAGTTTCCAATTTTTTTAAAGATTCCCCCCAAATGACTAACAGTATAGTGAACAGACTTTTGCTAAGTACAGATGTCTTAAGTTAGCTCTCTTATATGCTATTTTTCCTTATCATTTACTGCTCATTTTGTTTTCAAATTATCTAAGTATTATTATAGTTTCTCTTGAAAAGAGGAACACATTATAATACCACCACTTGCTCAAAGCTTCCATTCGTACTTGGGCATCTATCTTTTTAGTCTTTTTTCTTTGTGCAACAGATATTTAGTTTTGTTGTTAGTTTGTTTGAACTGGGACCATATTCTACATTATACTTTGTAAATCACCTTTTGATTTAACATATTATGAATTTATTTTCTTTAATTTTTTTTCTACAACATAGTTTTGGGGATCTGCATGACACTCTGTCTTACAGGTTGTTTCCAACTTTTCAGCAATTTAAGGAACTCTGGGAATATTGCTTTGCATTCATTGTATATGTTTCCAGTTATTTCCTTAGTATAAATTCTGTTGTACATTTTTAAAAGCATTTGATACTTATTTCAACACACCCCCTAGAAAGACATTTTTACTATGCCTTTTAATGTTAATGAGAATGCTTTTTTTCTCCATACTCTAATCAATACTGTTTTTACCTTTCAGTCTTGACTAATTCAGTAAGCCAAAATTATGATCTCTTATTTTAATTTGTATTTCTTTTCTTTTTCTTTTCTTCTTCCTTTTTTTTTTTTTAATGGAGATACTGGGCATTGAACCCAGGACCTCCTTGTGCAGGCTAAGCATGAACTCTACCACTGAGCTATTCCCTCCCCCTCATATTTCATATTATTAATGAGAGTGAATATATTTCATATTTATTAACTGTTTATATTTCTTTTTTGTGCATTGCTTATTCATGTTCTTTCTCCATTTTCTGTTGCTCTTTGCATTTTTCTTTATTAATTTATAAGAATTGCTTATTTAGTTAAGAATACAGTGCAAATACTTTCCCAGTGTTGTTTTTGACTTTTTGATTGTGGCTATGGGTTTATGTTTATTTTATGTTTAGAAATTTTAAATTTTATAGTGGTCAAATCTCTCAGTCTTAAAATGGCTTTAAATAAATAAGTGCTTATTTATGCTTAAATTGGCATCCTTAAAAAGGCTCCTCCCACCTCTCAACTATGCAATCATATAAATATTCTGAAGTATTTTCTTTCAGTTTTTTTTTATGGTTTTTTTCACCCCAACTCTGCGTCCAGCAGGGTCTTCTGGCCTTAATATCATCATTACTTTTCTCTTTCTAATTTAGTTTTTTATTTTCATCAAAGTTATATATACATATAATTTAAAGAGCCAAATTATTCTATTAGACTTATGAAAAATAGCACTTCCTAATACCAACAGGTCCCTCCCAGCTTTCCCCTACCTGAAACATTTACTAAATCTAGCTTCCAGAATTGTTTAGAATTTCAAAGCCTTTCTGATTCCTGGTCTGTGTATATGACATGTTTTTTCTCTTTAGAACCCTTAATATATCCTCTTTGTCCCAGAACTGTGAAGTTTTACAGTGAGCTGGGTTTTGTGTGGCATCTGTTGAGTTGGATGCTGAGTAGGTCTTTACCATCTGAAATCTATATTTCTTCAGTTCTGGGGAATTTTCTTGTATTTTCTCTTTTATTATTTCTTTCTGTTTTGTTTTCTCTTTGTGGAACTCCTGTATTTATATGTCAGACCTTCTGGACTGTTCACCTGTTTTTCTCTTTGCTCTACTTTCCATCTCATTATATTTTGCTATACCTCTGGTAGAATTCCTTTACCCTGTCTTCCAACTTTAACACCTAAGTTTTCATTGTATATTATATTTTTAATTTCCTGGTTTTCTTTTGTGATTTTTCAATTTTTATAGCATTCAGCAGTGTCTTCTCTTGTCTTTCTGAGATGAATTGTGATAGATTTTTTATAAATTAATCTTCCTACGGTGTCAAGGCAAATTTGTCAAGGCAAATTTTTTCTTATTGTTTGTTTATGTCTTTTTCAAATTAGAATTCTGGGTTAGCTTTTTTTTCCCACTCCTTTCAGCACTTTAAAATGTTATTCTGCTGTGTTGTCACTCCCATGGTTTCTGGTGAGAAATTCCTCAGTTGTTTAAGTGGCTGTTCCCCTGTATATAATGTGTTGTTTTACTTAATTTTTGATTTGTAGCAGTTTGACTGTGATGTGTAGACTTCATCCTGTGCAGAGTTCATTGACCTTCTTAAATGTGTAAATGTAGTTCTTTCATCAATTTTGGGAAGCTTTTGGTCAATATTTCTTTGATTTCCTTTTTTCCTTTTGCCCTATTCTCTTGTTTCTCTCTGAGATTCCAGTTACCTGTATGTTTGACCTTTTTGATAATGTCCCACAGGTCCATAGGTTCTGTTCTTTTTTCTTAATCCTTTTTCTTTCTTTTGTTTTGATTTGTCTGTCTTCAAGTTCACTGACTCTTTTGTCTGTCATTTCAATCATGCTAATTATTAAGCCCATCCATTGCTTTCTTTAATTTAGAGATTGTGTTTTAGTTCTAAGATTTCTGTTTGTTTCTTAGTGTGGTGTTTTGCTTCTTGGTTTGGGGTTCATTATCTGTCTCTACTTTCTGGAGATCCTCTCTTACCTCTGTCAGTCCTGATTGTACCAGACTTCTTCCCTTGATGCTTCTGGTCAGAAAGACAGTGGCTCCTTATCAAGAATTGTAGCTGCCCGGCGTCTTTGCCATAACTGTGTCTTCCCCTCTGGCCAAACCACAGTTTTCTGTTGCTCTCCAAAATCTGCCTGCTTTCCTTAACTCCTTGGTGCCCTCAGATAGGTTTTTCTTTTCGTTTCTTTTTTTTAATTTTAACCATTTTTTTCTATTGAATTATAGTCAGTTTACAATGTTGTATCAATTTCTGGTGCACAACATAATGTTTCAGTCATACATATACATACATATAAGGTTTTTCTGTTCATTTACTTTGGTTTTGTATTTTGCCCAGATTTTGTGGTTATTTACTGGAGGACTGGTGTGTTAGGGCCTTGTCCCTCCACACCAGAAGCAAATCCTCTGTGTTTCAGGTCAGAGACTTTCCTAAGATGTCTGGTTTTGGCTGCCAGATGGTGGGCACTATCTAGAGATCAGAAGCTCTGGGCATGTGGGCTATATGTGAACACTGACCATCTAGCTGGACCATTTCATTGGGGAACCTCCAGTGTCAGTGCTTTGGGATGTTTTTCTTCCTCCCTCTTGCCTAGAGGAAGGGTTGTACTGGGAGCTGACTGTAGGGAAGGGGTGGAGAGAGGTAGGGAGGTCTCAATATCTCTGCCTCTTTCCTCTTTCTTCAGTATAATATCTCTGCCTCTAACTGTGTGGTGTCTCCCAGGGTAGAGATGGGTACAGACCTTTTTTATCCTCTCAAGGCTGGGGTGTGTGGTCTACAGGCTAACTGATACTTCATCACATGTCCTACTAGTGCTCTTGTTTTTTTACTCGTTGTATCTCCACTTTCCAGTGTACCCGGTGCCACCGATGCCTGATCCCTTTGGCTGTTCTGTCATGTTGAATTAGGTTATTTCCTACCTGAGATTCTGCTTTCTTCAAGTCATATACCACTTGGTTTACTTTCCAACTCCCAGAATTTTATTATGGCTTCTCCTTTTTTGTTTGTAGGTTTATTTTGGAGAGGGCATTATTAGGCATTTTGTTTGTTTAATTGTACTGAGGATTGAACCCAGGACCTTCTTATTATGCATTAAAAAAAATCGTTTTACCTATCATTTTAACTAGACATTTGAGGAGATAAAAGAATTAAATGTTCATGTTACTTCATAATGTTTAACTGAATTTTTTAAATTTATTTTTTACATTTCAGTCTTCAATTGTATAATTTTGCTAAATGGCATATAATGGGGGGGGTCTACTAGTTTAATTTATTTCCAAGTATTTCTGATTTTCTGTTTGTTAAATAGTCCATTTTTTCCCCTATTCATATAAAACTATTCATAAAATATTACTGAGATATATGCTGGGTGTGTATGTAACCTTTCTGTTCTTTTGATTTCTATTCCTTTGCTCATATATTGTTGCACATGAACTTCAGAATTCTTCAGAATTATTCTTTTTTAATCTCTTCCTGACTACTCCATACAGAAAAAATTTATATGTATATGTATGTGTGTACACACATTTACATAACTGTATCTATTCATGTATACATATATCCATGTGTTAGGATTTTGATTGGGTAGTAGGGTAAGAATGATATCTTTGCAAAATTAAAGAACACAATATTCACTGCAGTTACTCAGGTCTTTTATATATACTGTTGATTTGGTAAATATTTATAAAGTACAGCCTTGTGCTGGGACCTCTGTGGGTTGTAGGGACGTAGTGACCAAACCATGGCCCCTAGTGTCATGTTGCCAAGTCCTGCATATTTCTTATTGAGTTTACTTGTAAGTATTTTTTATCTTTATGGCAATTGTGAGTTGGGTTTTTTTCCCCCAGTCTTTATGTTTTCCAGCTGGTTATTGCTGGGAGACGAAAAGGTTGTTCATTTCCCTTTAGGCCTTCTGAGGTCAGCATTTCCTGTTGTGCCAAAAATGTGTCATTTCACCCCTCCCTCCCCATCAAAGCACATAGAAGTTTTCCAGAGTGCCACCTGCTTCTCGTTGATATTCGACAGTGACTCAGAATTACAGTTTGATGAACCACATCAACTACTCGGGATTTTGTTCAGAATACAGTTGACACAGAGGGTTAATTGCTGCACTGATGTTTGGTGTGGAAAATTTTATGATGTCTGATTTCCTCTTTCAGACTTACTAGCCCTCGAGGTTTTCTTTGTTGTTGAGCCTCGTTGCCACACCAGCTGTCAGTTTGGTTTTGTTCCCGTTTAATTTCATGCCATACTCATACAGGGGTGAAGGCATAGCCCAAGGATCTGGCTCAAAGAAAGAGGAGTGAGGAACAATTTAAATGAACTCTCAGATCAGTGGATTTTTATTTTGGTTTTGTGTTCTTTGAGAGCACTTCCCTTAAAACTGAGTAAGTGATAGAAATGAGAATTAATGTTCCAATCATCCTGCACAGTTCCTGAAACTATGCTCTATCATTGCTGGCCAAACACTATCTAATTTTATGGGAATTTTTCCCCTAAGTGATTGCCAAGCTATATCATCACTATTTATTGATTTCTTCTCCTTAACACTGTGCTCGTGCCCTGCCTCACTCAGATCCATGGGCATCTGGCTCCTCTCTGGGGTTTAGGGTTATCTTGTCAAGGAACACCGAGTCCTCTGTGCCTGCAGCATTAATTGTTCACATGTGTGATGGTGGGGTGGTGGCAGCTATGGTTTAATTGAATCTCAACCCTGTCTTCTGACTCCAACTCCTGTGCTTCTTCCACTGCATCACATCCGTGGCCAAACTTCTGTGAGTAACTCGGTACAGATCCTCGGTGCATTGATTCATTAAAATCATTTTGATATCTGTAGTTTCTGTTCTCACCTTCTAATTGAGTTACAGGTTTCTTAAGTTTACCACTGTCTTTTATTTATCTTTTCTCTCAAGTTTTTAGGAAAATCTTTCTGCTGCATTGAAATGTGGGGTACAATATGAAGACCATACGGCAAACTGGTTAATAAGAGTGTGGACTTTGAGTTAGATGGAGTTCACTTACCAGCTAGGTGCCTGAGCAGCTTATTTTGCTTGTGAAAGTTTTTTTGGTTTTGGTTTTTGATGTTTTCTCGAGTGTAAAATGGAGAACTACCTCATAGGATTATTGTGAAAAGAGAACGTGATGATGCGTATAAAGTACACATTATAGTGCCTGGCACAGGGCTTGATACTTCAGAGCTTGCTGCTAACAGTGTTGCTGTGGCTGTTGTTAATAATAATGATAGTTATATCTGATTGCTTCATAGCTTTATAGAATTCAACATATGACCCTTAGCTTTTAGCTTATAGCACAAGAGCTTTTTAGTCTGCCTTCATGGCAGTGCTGTAACCACCACTGGTTTTATTTGCTGCTATAGTCTTATATATTATTCTTAAGTTTATTGCATTAAAAAAAAAGAAAGGAAAAGTCTGCATCTGTAATTTCAGGTATGAGTGCACTATAACTTTGTAAAAGGAAGGCAGTCTTTTCGGACTTGGTTCTTTGTATGTCTCTTATGAGCCTTAGATGATCTGGCTTCTCTATCTGTATTTCCTTGAGTGGTTTCTTCATGTATATTTTCCTTTTCCTCAAGGAAGTCAGGGTTTTGTTTTGTTTTGTTTTTCTTTTGTTTTATGAGGGGAAGGTAATTGGGTTTATTTATTTATTTATATTTGGAGGAGGTACTGGGGATTGAACCCAGGACCTCATGCATGCTAAGCACGTAGCACATTCCCTACACTCTCCCCAAGGAAGTCAGGATTATATTGCCAGATTTAGTTATTTGGAGCCACCCCCCCAGAGTCATCTAAACCTAGAGAATATGTCCTCATTCTCTTACAAGTTGTTTATCTGAATTTCTGGAGATCTGACTTTCCAGATTCTGGGCTACTGAGAAGATTCTTGTCGGAATTTGTGTTCTTGGCTATCGTGGGGTCTAGACTGACTTGGTCCTTCTCGCAAGGTTCCTATTACTTCTCCTTTACCAACCAGTTCTTGCTTGTTGATCAAAATTGGACCCAGGGTAACATCCCCTTATTAATTTGTTCATTGTCAGAGGGCAAATAAGAAAACAGTAAGACTCTCAGGAGCCATCTGGATTGGCACTGTGTTTTAGTTCTGTGCTGGTTACATGATCTCCATTCTGAGGTACCTTCTGTGTTGCTAATTGGATGGACAGACAGTAATAGGCTCCCTTAGCAGTTTCATTTCCTATTCTCTTTCCTTTTACCCTCTCCTCCACCACGCTTTCTATCCTTATTTCTTAACTTTCCACAGAGGTATATGCCTTCTTAACGATATTCAGCTTTGCTTCCTCACTTTGTTTTCATCTAAAGATTCTTCTGTCTTCTCTCTAACCCAACACAGCTCAGAAACCCTTCTTGTGATTTCTCCCTACTTACTTGGCAGCATATTACCCAGAAGACCTTGGTTTCAGCCATAAACTTGGAGGTTTTGCTGTCTACCTCTAAAGCTTTGAGGAACTGTTAGGCTAGAACTCACCAACCCAGACATAAAGACTGCCTGTCTGTACAGTCTTCTTCCTATTTTCAGTTCATTCAAAAGCAGCTAGAGCCTGATTCGAACTCTGACTTTGTGTTGTGAGCTCAACTTGAAAGTAGATGGATGAGGCTTTTATTTGCTCTTCCTGGTCTCATGGTTAGATTCAGTGCAAGAAAACTGGGAAACACTTGAGAGTAAGTTGCCTGGGCAGTGGGGATTGATATTTTATGTTTACAATTCCCCTAGTCTTCCTTCGTTTGAGGCTAGCTTTTTGTTTTGATTTGGTTTTTGTTTGTTTTGAGAGGGGGGACGTTTTGCAGTGCGGTTTTAGGGGTCTGCCCTGCTGCACGTGTAGAGGGGGCATTCCTCCTAGACTGCTGACACTTGGTCCACATTTAGAAGTGAGGGGTATAAGGCCATCGGTCAACAGCTTCCTGCGTTGTTTCCTGTTCTCCACTGAAGTCATGATTAACGCCTGGGCTTTCGTTCGTTTGGGTCCCCTCAGATACACCTATGAGCGAATTGATGGGCGAGTACGGGGAAACCTGCGCCAGGCAGCCATCGACCGGTTCTGTAAGCCAGACTCAGACCGCTTTGTCTTTCTTCTGTGCACCCGAGCGGGAGGCCTGGGGATCAATCTCACAGCTGCCGATACCTGCATCATATTTGATTCAGACTGGAACCCACAAAATGACTTGCAGGTAACCATTAGGATGATTGCTGTTTGCCTTAGCTGTCCCTGAATCCAAGAACATCATGACAGGGCCTGGCCTGGCTGTAGAGAGTGTCTGCCATGCTCCATGCTATGGTGTCGGCCAGATGGCAGGCTTAGGGCCTCAGTCAGGGGGTACAACTGAATAAAAAGTAAATGTCGAGCCTTCCCACTGATCAGAGTGGTTCTTTCTTTTACTGTAAATCAAATGGTATTTCACAGTGGTAGCCTCTGAATGTAGATTAGAAATACTATTTATTGTTATCAGATACAAAGAAAGATACTAAACTTGACTAATTCTCTAATTCTTGATTTATAGATTGCTTCTGGCTTTCTCACTTGCTTTATTTGTTAGACGTACAGTGCATGAGATGACCTAGAGGGCGGGGAGGTTCCCTGGTGTGGCCGGGTGACCGAGGCATCCTCATTAGTTCATCTGCTCTCCATTTAGTGCAGCATATTAGAGTTGATGTGTACCCAGTTAAGTGTACTTGCGGATTAAATTTGCTAGTTTTAACCAAATGAATAAACCAAACCAAACTGAATAATGGTGGCTTTGGAAGATAATTGCAAAGATTGGAGTTAATACATTTTAAAAACAAGCATAAACAAACAAGAAAATGACAGAGCCAACACTTCAGAATTCCTCTTCAACCCTGTTTGAAAGTAAAAACAATGACATTCCAGCCAGATTGCGCAAGTCAGCCCAAAAGAATCTAACTTATCAAAAAAACTATTTTAGCATATAGATGGACATCCATTAATATTAACATCCCAAGTGTATCTTGGGATATCTGCTAATAGCTTGGAAGATGAGTGTGTGGTGGGGAGAGCGGCGGGAGCCTCAAAACGTTTTTCATGATACAGGTGATTGATAAAAGAAGTTTGAAGGCTGCTGTTTCACAAAACTGAGAAGGTGCCCTAGAGGATACCACCAGGGAAGGGATGCAGGGAAAGGGAGCTAAGGTGGTGGGTGTTGGATGTCCGGACCTCTTCCTACCCACCACGTCACATAGAGTCATTCTGCTTTGTCTTTTTCATTTAATGAGTTTCCAAATAACATTTTATTTGAAGAAAGCAGTCTACTAGTTGAAAAACCAGTGCTCTGAATTATTAAGTTGGCGAAAACTGGCTAAAACTCAGAAAAAAAATCATTGTGAAATAAATTGTGTGGCACCGTGTTCAGCATCCAACTTGAAAAATCAGTAGGTGTGGCTGGCTCACCATCAGGCCTTTCTGCCGGTGACGGGCTATTTGGGTCAAAGATGAGTTGCTAGATATAATGAATAACCAATTTTAAAGGAATTAACATAATTAACACCAAAGTAATAATTAGTAGAAACTAACATTTGATCAGGTTACCAGGAAGAACCTAATTAGGATAGTAATATAGATCAGAGAGTAGGAAGCTACTGCCAGTGGTGTAGCCGCCTGGTTTTTAGATAGTTTCATTGGAATACATACACGTATTATGTCTGGTTGCTTTCATGTTACAGTGGCAGAGTTGAGTATTGCAACAAAGACTTTGTAGCCCACACCATCTAAAATATTTAGAAGTTGTCTGCCAACCCTGATACAGATGGTTTCATAAGTTGTAAGTCCTTGGCAGCTGTATAGCTGTCCAGGTGAGCCAGGACTCACCTGACTGTGAAGCTTGGTACCTGGGTGAATCATGATATGAGAAACCAAAATTGGGTGGCTGTTTGGAGGCCATGTTAGCTGGGCATGCCTGAAGGAATTTCTAGGAGGAAAATTGAAAGCATAGGGCTGGCATTTAGAGACACGTCACGGCCAGAGGCAAAGATTTTGGAGTCATTGTGCTTCACGTAATGAAATCTAGACATTGAATAGGTGCAGTGCCAAGAAATGGAAAGAGCAAGAATGAGAATGTTCAGGCCTGAAGGAGAAGATGAAGTCATCTGAGGTGACTGATTCGTATGGGGTGGGTGGGGCTGTCCAGAATTCCAGTCTGGGGAGAAGAGAAAAGCTTTGGAATGGCTGTTTTTAATGTCCACTGCTGGGGGACTGACAAGAGATGAATGAAGGAGTAGCAGTGAAGTCCAAACTGCAGTTGGATAGTGGGAGGTTTTTTACCCACTCCCTTGGTGGGAAAACAAAGACCATCAGCACTTGTGTGATTCAGGGCACTTGTACCAAGAACACAGCAGAAAGTAGAGGAGCGATCGTGTCAATGGTAATGGCAGCCCCAGGTCCAAGTCAGAGTTAGAATTCCTCAATTAGTGGTCTTCCAGCCTGGCTACTGTTTTGGTTATTTTTATGTATAGCTTTGTAACTTAGAGGAAACTCTGTTTTTGAGATGTCTCATCATACTAGGTAGAAATAAAAGAATTGGAAAGAGTTGAGTAATTTTAGAGCAGGGAATTGGGTCAGTGGTTATTGGGGAGTGGGACTGATGGGCTGTTCTGAGTTGCCCAATTGATGGAGCAAGGTTCTCTGCTTGCCTGGCATGGGGAGGAGAGAACGAGGGCTGGAGCCCACCCTCCAGACGATGTGCACTCAGCACACACTCTCCCTGCTGTTTGCCCTTCACCCACGGGCTCTAGATATGATGGAGAAGATAGAATCTGGAGACTAATGCCCTGAGACCACCATGTGGTTCACAGGTCTGCAGCTAAATCCGCTGTGGAAGTCGGTGAAGTGCATTCCTACGGTACTATCCCTGGTAAAATTACCTGGTACTATCCTTGCTAGTTAGTTGGGTCGTGTTAACTTACACACAGTTGTTCACACGTATGCACACTTTCTAATACTTTTTGTCAGTGAATGAAAGCTTTCAGTTAGCTATAGTTCTTGATGGTTATTGAAAAACCACAACTCCTACTCTGATAAAAGACGATCGTATTTCCTTTGGAAGATGGGCTTGACATAGAATATTTATCTGTGAGTGGATTGAAGCACATGCTACCTGGTATAAATGTCAGGGCCAAGAAGAGAGTCCCATAATGAACATGGTCTTACCCTCTACCCTAGTGGAATTTAGCATAGCTCCAGAGGTCAAGTTCCGATGGTAGAAAATGGGAGTGTTCACTGTGGTCTCCACCAGCCTGGATGGTCCGGTGCAGCGTATGCTGATCTCGAGGCGGGCCGACATGGGGCGGGCAGCACTGACAGTACCAGGACGCTGTTTCTTGACTGACCCTGGGCAAACCCCCTTGGAGCCTTGACGGGGAAGCCAGCCTGGTTGGGAGACACTGGGCTCAGCTAAAGTAGGCCCGAGTGCCTGAGGCAGGCCTGCAGACCATATAGCTGCGGAACAGAGCTCCATTCTCTGAAAAGTCAGCTGGAAGTTAGACAGCAGTGTTACCTTTTCTGCTGCTTTTTTGTTATTATTTTTAAAGTTCATTATTTCAGCCTTCTGATCATTTTGCTGGGATTTTCTGTGCTTTGGGGAGAGAATTAGAGGTGTAGGATTTGCTAGAGAAATGTATATATATGTTTCTAAATGCATATTTTAAAAAATTTTTTAAATCTAGGTCTTCATAAAACAAATGACATTGAATGTCAAATGCTATTTCCATTGCTCTTGTTAGAGTCTGAGGAGTCTAAAAAATTATATTTCTCACCCATGCTTCAATCTGAACCAGTTAAGAAATAGACACAGGAGTGCAAAGGGTCAGAGCATCATCAGCTTTTATAAAGTATGATGGTGGGTTAGATGATACAGCTTGACCAATAGCCAGAATTAGGCTTCCAAGGACTCCTGCACGTGTGCCCCTCATCCCTAGGTTAGCTTTACCCACTGAGAACTGCTGGCAGAGCAGAGGCTGGCCTGGTTAGCCTGCCAGTGGCAGAAAGGGAACGTCCTGCCCTCGCAAGAGATGGGGCGGCAGGGCACGAGTCTATAGGAGCTCTGACCGGGTCTCCTGTCTCACTAGCCAGGTCAGCTGCTCCTTTGGAGTAGAGAGGGAAGGGGTGGGACAGGAGGGAGAGACTCTGTTGTGTTCCTACGTGGGAGCAGACATTCCCTTCTGGAAATATGCGGATGGAGAACTAGGACTCCTGCTGTGGTGTCTACCAGATCAGCCCTTCCCAAATCCTCCTCCCCTTTTTCCAGAAAATGGAGGCATAGGTTCATTTGGACCCAGGACAGGAACAGGGCACTACTTAGGGGCAACAAGAGAATAAATGCAGTACTGAGGGATCTCAGTGATGTGTCATTTTATCTGAGCTGTCACAGGTCAGCCAATTTTTAGGTCTCCTTACCAGGGAGTTCTCATCAAGAGGCATCAAGTAAATGCCACATTTTCTCTCACACCTTGAACATGTCTGTGTTGGCATCAATGTGTGTGAAAAAAATCAAGCTGTGTCTTCATCCAGGAGGCACAGCTGGGATTCAGTCCCGGTACGTGAGCTGCAGCTGGTTTTCTGCAGGTTTCCTATAATACCTGTGACCCCCGAGGTCAGGAAATGGTGCAGGGTGCTGACAGTAGCCTGGGAAGGGAAAAGAGCAGCAGAAAACTGGTTTCTTTCCTTCTCATTTGGAGGAAGCCAGCTTGCTGTAGCTCTGGGGGCCAGGTGGCCCTGAGGGAACAGCAAGTACCAGCCTCCCCTTGCAGCGGCTGCAGCATCTTGCCCTCCCATTGCTCCGTGACTCTGATTCTCATCTCATGGGGAGCTTTTTGCTCTGGGAGGCAGGAGTTCTGAGACTGAACAGGAATCAAGGTAACAGTGGAAGGGGCATTCCCCATTCTTCCTGTGGATAAGCTCCCTGACGGGAGAATTCAGAAAGCCTGGACGCGGGTGACCTGGCAGAGAGCGCAACCAGAGGGTAATGCAGCTGACGCCTGTCCAGAGGGATTCTGGAAGCGAGGGGGGGAATCCAGCCTGAGGAGCCAGGGGCTGACGTGCTGCTCTGAGAAAGGAGAGGTGCTGGTTCCCTCTGGCACTTCCTCTACCACCACCAAGCTGCTATCAGCACCTTGCCTGATGGCATGTATGCCTGGAGCTGGGGGGACTAAACTCTGTCAT